GGTAAAAATTCTAGCACCATAAGAACGGAACCTTTCTGGGTGTTATGTATTGAATTATGCCCCGCAAAATGTGTGCTGGAACCCTAACCCCTATACCTGTGGAAGAGTCCTGGTGGTGCATGGTTAAGTGCTTGGCTGCTAACCGAAAGGTCAGCAGTTCAAACCCACCAGAGGTTCCCCAAGAGAAAGATGTAGCAGTCTGCTTCCGTAAAGATTTACAACCTTGGAAACCCTATGGGGCAGTTCTACTCTCTCCTATAGGGTCACTATGAGTCAGAACAACTGGATGGCAATAGGTTTTTTACGCTTGTGGATGGAATCCCATTTGGGAATAGGGTTTTTGTTATGTAAATGATGCCATTCTCAGTGTAGGGTGTGTCCTAAATCTAATCTCTTCTGAGTTATAAGTGCAGCTTAGCCACAGAGACAAGCAAGCACAAAACGGGAAAGAGATGCCAAGTGGAGATTCCCAAGGAACTGAGGAATGCTGAGAAGAATGCTAGAGAAGCTGAGACAAGGATTTTCCCCCAGAGCAGACAGATAGGGAGCCTTCTCCTAGAGCTGGTGCCCTGAATTTGGACTTCCAGCTTCCTAAATGTGAGAAAATAAATTTGTTTGTTAAAGCCACCACTTGTGGTATTTCTGTTACAGCAGCACTAGCTAAGACACTGGGGAAGACTCTGTGGAAGAGGCTGGGAAAGGCCTGCTCGCTGCCAGTGACCTCATCTTCTCAGAAAACCACCCCTGCCGGGGATAACATGGAACTGGAGCACATTCACCCCTAAGGGCCCAGGCGAGGTCCCAACGCACTGCTAAGACCTGCTTCTCCACGGAACCTCAGCAGTGCTTTTCCCTCCTGTCGTCCCTGCATCCCGCCCCAAGCAGAGAAGCAGGAATAATGTATGGTTATACCATTTACTGAGTTTTCTCAATGCGCCAGGCCCTGTTATCACGTGCTTTCTAATGTTCCCATTTACTCTCCATAATAACTCTGCAAGGCATTATCATTCACAATTTAGAAATGACGAAACGGGCTCAGAGAAAAAGTCACTTGTCACACTACTGGTAAACGGTGAATGATCCAAAATAAGCACAGTGCCTAACACAGAGAAAAACTCGTTGCCATCGAGTCAATTCCAACTCATAGCAATCTTATAGGACAGAGTAGAACTGCCCCATAGAGTTTCCAAGGAGTGCTTGGTGGATCTGAACTGCTGACCTTTTGGTTAGCAGCCGTAGCATTTAACACTACACCATCAGGGTTTCCAGAGAAATATCCCCATAGATATTAGTGATGACTGCTACCATGTGGCAGAGGCAGGACGCAAGCCCAGGTCTGTCTGACCCCAACGCCCATGTTCTTCTGTTTAGGAGATACATGCACACGGTACAAACCTCAAACAGGCAGAAGGGCATAGGGTGAAAAGGGAGAGGCTTCCACCCACCCTGGACTCCAGGTCCCCTCCTGAGAAGCAGCCACTTTAAAGCTCAGGTATCCTTTTAGAGATTTCTGGCAAGAGGACAAACACTGTTCCGGACCTTCAAAGCTCTGTTATTTAACCATCAGGCTGTTCTGCTGGACTCACTTGCCTGGCTGAGCTGCACTTGGCATTTCTGCCTGTTTGTAGCAAACTAAGAAGGTCCCTGAGTAGCACAAACTGTTTGAGCTTGACTACTAATTGACAGGTTGGTGGTTCTAACTCACCAATGGAAGAGGCACCACAGAAGAACAGCTTGGCTATGTGCTTCCATGAGGATTACAGCCAAGTAAACCCTGGTGGCACAGTGGTTAAGAGCTTGACTGCTAACCAGTCTGAATCCACCAGTTGCTCCTTGGAAACCCTACGGGGTAGTTCTACTCTGTCCTATATGGTCGCTATGAGTCAGAACTGACTCAACGGCAACGGTTTTTTTTTTTTTTTTTTTAAATCCTACAGAGCTCAGTTCTACTCTAACACATGTGATCACCATGAGGTGGAACTGACTCAGTGGCAATGGATTTTTTTTTGGGGGGTGGGGGGTACCAAATTTCACTGCAGCTAGCAGGCTTCCTCCCTGAGGACTGGGGTGAAGCTGTAAGATTCCAGAACTCCATCTCAATTTTTAGACCCAAGGGTATGCTTCAGGCAACATTTAGGCCGTAAGTCAGGTTGCACAGTGTACCCCCCAGGGCCAGAGGGGTTGCTCTGCCTGACACAGTGGCTGGCTAGAAGACACCCTGGTCAGACAGCCCAGGCCCTAACATGGCCCCAAAAGGGCTTCAGCACGAAGCTGGCAGTTGAACCATAAGGCTGCCACACTCGTGCAATCTGGCCTGGGAGCTGGGTCCACACAAAACCACAGACAGCAGAAGGTAAAAGCAGAGACCTGGGTTCAATGGCTTCACTTTTTCTAGCTCTGTAGCTTTTGAAAAAGGCATTTCATCTCTCTGAGATGCAGTTTCTTTGCTTATCAAATGTAACAGTAGTACCTACCCTTCAAAGGGTTATAACCCGATGCTGCTGAGTCCATTCTGACTCATAGCAACCCTGCAGGACAGAGTACATCTGCCCCATAGGGTTTCCAAGGTGCGGATGGTAGACTTGAACTGCTGACCTTTTGGTTAGCAGCCAAGTCCTTAACCACTGCGCCACCAGGGCGCCCCTCAAAGGATTCTGATGAAGATTAAATAACACCTATAAAATGTCACATTGTGAACTTTTTAGTACTGATAACAATATTAAGGAGGCTGCTCTATGGATGTGAAAACAAGCCTAGGCTTGGAGTGTCAAAAACTGCACTGTTTTCCCCAGAGACGTGGGGTTTTCCGAGGATGCACTGGGGAAAGGACATCCCTTAACCAACTTTAGGACACGTAAGCAGTCCCACTGGTACCACCTGCACCCTTTTTCCAGCGTGTGTGTGGGGAGAATGGAGTATTGAGGACTCTTCTGCATTTGATCATGCAGAGAGGTGAGGGCGCAGATGTGGAGGACTCTTCTGCATTAGACCACGGAGAAAGACGAGGGGCAGGTGTTGAGGACTCTTCTGCGTTAGACCAGACAGAGAGGTGAGGGGGCGGATGTTGAGGACTCTTCTACACTAGACCACGGAGAGAGAGAGGCGAGGGCTTTCAAGCAGCAGAGGATCCCAATCAGCTTTCAAAGCTATTCAGTTGCTTTTCCTGAGCCCTGCCGAAGACTGGGAAGGGTGGAGAAAAACCACAATAATTATGGGTTCTCAGATAAAGTCTGTTTCCTAATCCCAGGTTCTCAGATAAGGTTGGTTTCCTTCTGCAGCAGGGGTGCTATTGTCTTGATTTCCACAAAGACTCCCGGGCAATGCTGGGTGTGGCACAGAAAATGAGATCCACCCACTCATAAAATGCTCACTATGTTCTGGGTGAGACAAAGATGACAGCTCTGGGGAGCCAACCTCACTGTACTGTGGCTGGGCCAGAAACCTGAGTTAACAAGAAGCCCAGGGAAGCTGAGATCTTAAGCCCTGCAGCCCGGGGTTCTCCCAGGACTCGCAGAGGGAAACACTCCAACTAGAGTGCAGCCCCAACTTCCAGCCCTTTCAGGATCAGAGACTGAACTGTGCCACGTGAGGCTCCAAAAAACCCATTGCTGTCAAGTCAATTCCAACTCACAGCGACCCTACAGACAGGGTAGAACAGCCCCATAGGGTTTCCAAGGCTATAAACCTTTATGGAAGCAGACAGCCACATCTTTCTCTGGCAGAGCGGCTGGTGGGTTCGAACCGCCAACCTTTCGGTTAGCAGCCGAGTGTAACCACTGCACTACCAGGGCTCCTTACACCAGGCTCAAAGCCCCCAAATCTGTCTAATTTTATCAACATCCCTGGAAGGGCAGGGGCATCCACACAGAAAGCCAAGTCTCAGAAACAGGTACAGTAGCATCAACGCATGCTGTGAACTGGCTTGGTCTCAAGCAACCTCAGGCAAGGACTAAAGGATGGGCCATTTTTAAATCTCATGTGACCTGCCCTGTAAAGCCAGTCAGGTAAGGACGTATCCCTTTGCCAGGTGCTCTTTGGTTGTTTCAGGTGGGTAGGAAGTAGTTATGGCAAGACTACTTCAAACAATTTGCCTTTCACTAACATGCCTCTGGAGCCCAGGTGGCGCAGTGGTTAAGAGATTGGCTGCTAACCGAAAGGTCAGCAGTTCGAATCTACCAGCCACTCGTTGGAAACCCTATGTGGCAGTTCTACTCTGTCCTACAGGGATGCTATCAGTAGGAAATGACTCAATGGCAATGGGTTTGGGTTTGATTTTAACATGCCTTTACGCCGAAGGAAAAAAAAAAAAAGCACTGAATACACATGCATTGAATACTTACTATGTGCCAGCAACCCTATGACGTACAGGTATCAAATTATTCCCATTTTAACAGATGAGGAAAATGAGACATCAAAAGGTTAAGCAACTTGGTCAGGATCACCAGATACTAAACGGGGAGCTGGGGCTCAAGTCTAGTCTGTGCGTCTTTGTCAGGATTCCATCCTAGGGGGACTAAGGTGCAGAGAAATTGCTTAGGCTCTATCAGGCTTGAATTTCACTCTCAAGTCACAGAATCCTAACAGAGGGAAGTGGAAAGGAATCAACTAGGGCAACTAGTCCAGCTTTCATTTTACACATACCTAGGCTGAGGCCTATAGTGAGGAAGAGACTTTGTCAAAGTCACACAGCAAATCAACAAGAAAGTCAAGATTACAAGAGTCCTTGTCCAGTGACTTCTAGTCATTTTTACACATCAGCTTAAATGACACTTCCTCAGGCAAGTCCCCCTTGACCACCCACCCCCCAAACGAGACGTGTTACACACTCAGGGCTCTCTGCACACCGAGCACAGCTAGAATTCCGTGCCTGTGGGTACAACTCTCTCTCAATGCTTGTCCTCTGAACTAGACAGAAGTTCTCCACCACAAGCACGTCCCCAGCATCTGCCACAGTGTCGAATGCATGACCAGAGGCGGGTGCCTGGCTAGGGTGGGCTTACCTTCACTGTCGGTGAGCACCTCCATGCGCCCGCTGAACATGGCCTTCAGCATGGTGTCCTGCTTGGTCAGCGTCTGCATGGTGGTGTAGTAGAGGGCCCCACCCACGTTCAGCTTCACGTACTTAGAGCTGGGGCTCGTGCCCTTGAAGGAAGTGGTGCGGGTAGCAGCCGCTGGCACCGCTGAGCTCACCACACTTTCCCCTGACATCTCTTCCTGTTGGTGAAGAAGAGACAGGGTCAAGACGCCAGGCCTGGTTCACCCCTTTCCACCCAAGGGCTGAATCTGGTCCAAAGATGCATTTTGCTTGGTCCACATAGAGACTGCATTTGAAACTTGAAGTTTATTCCCCAGGTTCTGGACAGAGCTGGAGAAGGATGTAGAACAAAATTCTAACTCACAAAAAAAAAGACCAGATTTACTGGCCTAAAGGAGACTGGAGAAACCCCGAGAGTATGGCCCCCAGACACCCTTTTAGCTCAGTGGTGAAGTCACCTCTGAGGTTCACCATTCAGCCTGGGAGTGGACAGCCCCATAAAACCAAATGGGACTAATGAGGTACAGCAGTCCAGGGACAAGGGCCAGAAGGCAGAAGGGGACAAGGAAGCTGGTGACAGGGAACCCAAGGTTGAGTAAGGATAGTGTTGATGTGTTGTGAGGTTGTTAACCATTGTCATAGGGCAACATGTGTACTAACTGTTAAATGAGAAACTATTTTGTTCTGTAAGCCTTCATCTAAAGTGAGAATAGCGGCACAATTGGAAGAGCGTAGTCGATGTCACTGAACTGTGCATGTAGGAATTTTTGAAATGGTATATCTTTGGCTATGTATATTTTCACCAAAAAAAAAAGGTTGAGAAGGGAGAGGGTTGACATGTTGTGGGGTTGTTAACCAACATCATAAAACAATATGTACACTACTGTTTCATCAGAAACTATTTGTTCTGTAAGCCTTCACCTGAAGTACAATAAAAATTTTTAAAAAACTGAAAAAAAAAAAAAAAAAAAGTTTATTTCCCAAATTGACAACTCAGGTGATTTCACAGAAAAATCTGGATTTCTGTGTTTTCTTAAAATGAGAGGTCAAACTGGGCCAGCACGGCAACAACTGGTGGGGGAGCTGGGGTATTGGCTGCCCCCTGGAGAAGGAGGTGCCCTCCCCAGCTTGCCCCACTCCCTTAGATAGCCTCATACACTGGCCTTACCTGCTGACCTTATGGGCATGAGTTTGCCACTAACTCTTGCATTACAAGGACTTCCCTTCTACCCAACGCCCAACAGGAACTCCCTGGCTGCACTGTCCAGGTCTCTCCACGATCGCTTATTGCCATGTACCACTAAACAGCTAAAAGTGTCACCTCTCAGCTGAATTACAGATGAAGTAAGCCTTTATGCAGTCATATGGGATCCCAACTACAATGCCTAACACGTTCTATGGGGAAAAAGTGTTTGTGAGGACTAAACAGCAGACTAAGAAACTCTTGGAAGCAAGTTATTGCAAAATTTGAGACTTCCTGTACTAGTACTGTCCAAAATAGCAAGATTCTACGACAGTCTCCCTAACAGCACTGCCAGCTTTCTTGTAAACCAAAGAAATGGATGTAGTGTCTGATTTAAGTAGGCCCTAGGAAAGGGGATTAGTACCTGGCACGCGTGTACTCAAAAACATTGTACGAATGAATAGGTAAAAAAACTCTGTGCCTGCAGAAGATGATCAAGAGTGGGCTGAATCTTTACTGATTCTGGGGCACAGCACTGGGAAAGAGAAAAGCAGTTCTCAACAGCCAGAAGTTAGGGCATGATGTTCCCAATGAACAGAAACGCCTTCACAGAACATCACCACCAGACTAGACCACTCTATGACTGTGATGGATCAAGACAAAGACCAGACCACTCCGTAATCAAGTCTAGCCACACCTGTACCGATTGCTATCATATCGATTCTGACTCATAATGACCCCATAGGACAGCGTAGAACTGCCCCATAAGGTTTCCAAGGCTGTAATCTTTACAGAAGCAGACTGCCACATCTTTCCCCCATGGACTAGCTGGTGGGTTTGAACTGCTGACCTTTTGGTTAGCAGCTGAGTGCTTAACCACTGTGCCTCCGAGGCTCCTTCCCTAATCAAGTCTGTAGGCAGACAAAAACAACACTGCTGTCTAAAACACAAACATACCCCTATTCTGGCTAATATGAGTGACTGCTAATTCTTTACCAATAGCAGCTTTAGCCTCGGTCTAGTCTTCCTGAAGGAGTCCCTGGGTGGTGCAAACGGTTAAGCACTCAACTTCTATCTGAAAGGTTAGCGGTTTTAACACACCCAGAGGTGCCTCGGAAGACAGGCCTGGTAATCTGCTTCCAAAAGGTCACAGCCTTGAAAACCCTGTGGAGCAGTTCTACCCTGCACACACGGGGAGGCTATGAGTCAGAATTGACTCAGTGGCAACTAACAACAACAGCATTCTTCCTGCCTTCAAGATAGGAATTATTAAGATACTCAATCACAGAATTACCTCTGCTTCTTGACAGTATCCAGTACAGAATAAAGCCCCACTTCAATGAACCCTCTCCCAAATCATCCTACCAAACCAAACCAGTTGCCATCGAGTAGATTCCACCTCATAGCGACCCTATAGGACAGAGCAGACCTGCCCCACAGCTTTTCCAAGGAGCAGCTGGTAGATTTGAAATGCCGACCTTTTGGTTAGCAACCAAAGCTTTTAACCACTGTGCCACCAGGGCTCCCCAAATCACCCAACATAAGCCCAAATCCTATATTAAATCCTTCCTAAAACCCTCTTTCTAAGATGTCCCACAGTTTCCCATGGTGTGTGTTCTCCCTCAATGCAACAAGTCAACCCACTCAACTTTGCTCGACTGTAGGTATGCTCCCGGTGGGTTTTGGCCGCAGGGCATAGGCCGCATGGAACTGCTCTTTTGAAATATTTCCTCATACCAAAAAAGAAAAGGATTGTGTTTTTAAATTCTTTATACCCTTCTATCTTTTCCACATTTTCCACAATACACACGTATTTTGTCTATAAGTGGTACAATACAAATGTTATTTTTTAAATGGAACAGGGGACTAACGGGTGGCAAACTGCCATGAAGTGGTAATACAAAGAGGCAATGATTTAGTGATAGTCATCTGCAATATTCAATTCAAAGTTACCCAACTCTTCTGAACAACTCTCCCCCCAAAAGAGTGGCCTAGAAATCACCTGCTGGGGAATTTGTGTCAGGACCCAAAGGAGTGAAACAGACTGAAGGGTCTCCTAGAGAGAAAAGTGTTTTCTCAAGGAACAGTTCCAATCTCAGAGCCACAAAATTTATAAAGGAAACACTGACAGAATTGAAGTGAGAAATAAACAGGATCACTATAATAGTTGGAGACTTTAATACACCACATTCAATAATAGGTAGAGCTAGATAGAAGATCAATAAAGAAATAGAAGATGTGAACAATATTATTAACCAAATAGACCTAACAGACATATATAGAACACTCCATCCAACAACAGCACAATATACATTCTTCTCCAATGCACATGGAACATTCTCCAGGATAGGCCATATCTTAGGACACAAAGAAAGTCTCAATAAATTTAAAAAGATTAAAATACAACATACCAAAACTCACTGGATGTATCAAAGTCAGTACTCAGACGGAAATTTACAGCAATAACTTGAAAACCCATTGCTGTCAATTCTGACTCATAACGATCCTATAACAATAAACGTATATATTTAAAGAGATCCCAAATGAATAACCTAACTCTACTACTTGAGGAACTGGAAAAGGAAGAGTAAATTAAGCCTAAGGCTACTAGAAGAAAAGAAAAAAGATCAGAGCAGAAATAAATGAAATAGAGAATAAAAAACAATAGAGAGAATCAACAAAACCAGAAGTTGGTTTTTTGAAAAGATCAATAAAATCAACAAAACTTTGGATAGACTAACAAAGAAAAAGAGAGAGAAGATGCAAATATTTAAAATTAGAAACAAACGTGGGGACATTACAAAGGACCCTAAAGAAATAAAAAGGATTGTAAGGGAATGCTATGGACAGTTGTACGCCAACAAATTAGATAACTTAAGAGGAAATGGACAAATTTCTTGAAACACATAAACTCCCTACATTGACTCAAGAGAAATAATGATCTCAACAGACCCATAAAAGATTGAATCAATTATTAAAAACCTTCCAACAACAACAAAAAAATCCTGGACTAGATAGCTTCACTGGGGAATTCTACCAAACATTTATAGAAAAAGTGACTCCAACCCTGCTTAAACTTTTCCAAAAAATAGAGAAGGGAACATTTCCTAACTCATTTTATGAGGTGAGCATGACCCTGATACCAAAGGCATACAAGGACACCACAAGAAAACTACAGATCAATATCCTTAATGACTACAGATGCAAAAATACTTGACAAAATACTAGCAAACTGAATCCAAAAACATATTAAAAGAATTATACACCATGATCAAGTAGATTTACCTCAGGAATGCAAAGGTGGTTCAACATTAGAAAATCAATCAATGTAATACGACATTAACAGAGTAAGGAAAATAACCACATCATCATCTCAATTGATGCAGAAAAGGCATTTGACAAACCTCAACACCCTCTCAAGATAAAAAAACTCAAAAAGATATACATTAAAGGGAAAGTCCTCAATATAATAAAAGGCATTTATGAAAAATCCACAGCTCACAATACACTCAGTAGAGAAAGACTGAGCCTTCTCATTAAGATAAGGAACAAGACAAGGATGCCCACTGTCACCACTGCTATTCAACATCATTCTGCAAGTCCTACCTAGAGTAATTCTGCTAGAAAAATAAATAAATAAAAGGTATCCAAATAGGGAAGGAGGAAGTAAAACTATCCCTTTCCAAAGATGACACAATCTCATGTATATAAAATTCCAAAGATTCTATATGAGAGCCATTAGAACTGATAAATGAATTGAGCAAAACGGCAGGGTACAAGTCAAACACAAAAATCAACCGAAGTTGTATACATCAGCAACGAGCAAGCTGAACAAGATATTAAAGAAACATTACCATTTTTACAACAGTACATGTCAAGGATTGAATTGTGTCCCCCAAAAATATGTGTCAGCTTGGTTAGGGCATGATTCCCAGTGTTGTGTGGTTGTCCTCCATTTTGTGATTGTAATTTTATGTTAAAGAGGATTAGGGTGGG